GCAGGCAAACGAGGCTAATCAGCCCTGTGCACCAGCTTTTACAGAAGTTGTTTTAAGTGATCAGATGATGTTTTTTAACAGAGTTGAGCAAGAATATGATTCAGAGTTGAAGGTTGTAAAAGGCAGTGATATGTGTAGACAGTGAGGCTCAGGTTCTGGGTGGATTCTCCAGCCTGCCTTCCCTAAAAGATGCCAAACTTTGATCTGTGTTTTGTTGCTTATTGGGCAACTTAAGAGTCTGTGCTCGTAGTGACAATGAACATGAAGGCCCTGTGACAATATGAGGTATATATTGCTATCATCTTTTCTTTTTGGATGAAACCGTGGTACAGAGCTTAAGGAACTTGGCTGAGGCACACAGCCAGTAGAGCGGAATGGACTATCTTGTTTGATAACTATCTCAGGGGCCTACTCTGTGGCTACTTGGAGGCTCTGAGGTAAATACACATGCGATGGATGTTTTCAAGGAGTTTGTATTTGCTTTCTGGGTAGGTAAAGGAATGGTAAGAGGAAGAGGAACTGCCTTGGGGATGATCTCCAGTGTCTGCAGCTCTGTGTAGCTAGGATGTGGGCCACATGTTGAAGAGGTTGTAGGAGAGATGTGAGGGTGGCCACAGGCAGGTGTCCCTGGGTCAGGCTGGAGTCTTCTGCTCATTGTCTGGAGGCTCTGAGGAGCTAGGACTTTAAGCCAAGAAGTAACGATGTTTTTTTCACTTTTGTATTTGCTGGGAAGAAAGAAGTGTTTATGTTTAAGCCTCTTGGACAGAAAAATTATCCTTGATAACATGTCTGCAATCCATGGAGGAAGGGTGCTCCTGACTTGGGCCTCACACAGACTTAGTCTACTGACTTGGATGAGTCTGGAACTGTGGTGCTTGCGGAGGGTCACTGATGCCTCCAGTGGAGGACCAAGACTACTTTGTAAATCCCAGCACATCTTTTGCACCAGCTGCAGCAAAGATCAAGAACTGTGGTCTGGTTTTAGGATGGTTGAGTCTCACCTTCAGCTCTGCTGCTGCGGTAAATGCTGCCATTTAGATTACTACTGGTGAGCTGTCCTGGAACTCTGTAGACCAGGCTGGCCTTGAACCCAGAGGCCTACCTTCCTCTACCTCCTGAGTGCTGAGATTAAAGGCCTGTGCCACTATGACCAGCAACATGGGTGGGCAAGCCTTACAGAGGTATAAATGTGGTTTTTGGAAGACTCTGGAGTCCTCTGGAGGAGGACACTCTATTTGTTAGGAGATAAGTGAGAGCTGGTGACATGCAGGATGAAGACAGACAAATCCTGCTCTCACTATCCCTTCCTAGGCATTGGCTATTGTTTGAGGCAGTGTACCAGGTAGCCCAGACCAGCCTTGAACTTGTGTAGCTGAGGATGCTCTTGAAGTTCTGAATGCTCCTGCCTCCCAAATGCACCAACACCTGTTTATATGATACTGGGATTGAATTGAGGGTCTTTTGCATGTCGGGCAAGCCCTCTACTAATGGACTACATCACAAGCTCCCTTCCTGGACACCAAGTAAACCTTTCTGAACATTGACCTTTCAAAGGTGTTGCAAATGGTCTTGGATATGGGGGTTGAGAGTAAAAGAGAGAGGCTCTTTAATGTGGGTCATAGACACTGAGGTGCCTTGAAGTAACAGGCCTCTTGGCTTTCACAATCCATGTTTCTCCACTAGACCTCCATGACCCTGCAGTGGAACCTTTATGAGATGGCACACAACTTGAAGGTACAGGAGATGCTTCGGGCAGAGGTTCTGGCTGCCAGGCGCCAGGCTCAGGGAGACATGGCCAAGATGGTGCAGTTGGTCCCACTCCTCAAAGCCAGCATCAAGGAGACACTAAGGCAAGTCCAGTATACCTATACCTCCCCACGCCCAACCCCTAGAGAAGGGTTCCAAGGATGGGCTAGTGGAGGAGATTAGAATCAGGAAGCGAGAAGTTTGGAAGGGACAAGTAGGGCATGGGAGAGAGGGCTAGAACTGGGCTCTGCCTTAGTTTTTCCCTGGGGCGTTGGAGTGGGGGGCTGAAATTCCAGGCTGGTGTGGGAGTCAGGGTGGAGGCTATGGCCTGGCTCCAGGATCTGGGACCATCTATCTCTGAGGGTTATCTTTCTGTAGACTCCACCCCATCTCCGTGACCTTGCAGAGGTATCTTGTGGATGACGTGGTGATTCGTGACTACAGGATTCCTGCCAAGGTAGGACTCAGAGCTGTGCCAGTCAGATGGCAGAGGAGAGGGAGCAGGCTTCAATTGCAGGCAGATGGTGGTATTGGGGGCTTCTATCTAAGAAAGGCTTAAATGCTGGGGCATGGGTGGAGTTTGTGTGAACAGTAGTGGTGGACGTGGTGGATGATGAATTCTGGAGTCCAGGGTCAGGAGGCTAGCATGACTGGTCTTTCTGGATTGAGAGTGAGGCAAGGGTTAAGAAAAGTATAGGAAACCTTATGGGTTATCTCTAGCATTGTGTCTTCAGCCTTCATCAGGACTCATGGAGGGGCAGGGCCCTTGTTTGAAGCTACATAGAGAGCAGAAAGCCATGCCCGGTCCTGTCTTAGGTAGCTGGACAGTCAGACTGGAGAGCAGGGACTTGAGGAAGCTGGGCTGGAATTGTACTCAGGACTGTGGGAAGTTGGAGCTGCTCAAACCTTGTCTCCTTGCTCCTAGATGTTGGTGCAGGTGGCTCTCTATGCCATGGGCCGAGAACCCAGCTTCTTTATCAATCCAAACAAGTTTGACCCAACTCGTTGGCTGGAAAAAAGCAAAAATGCCACCCACTTCCGGCACTTGGGCTTTGGCTGGGGTGTTCGACAGTGTTTGGGCCGGCGGATTGCGGAGCTGGAGATGACCATCTTACTTATCAATGTGAGTAAGGCTCTGGGACATATCAGCACCCTGGGATTTCCCTAGCCCCAGTGATGTCACTGACCTTCCTCCTTCTATCCCAGAATCCAAGGAGTACAGGGACAGGGCTCATTAGTTTCCTGTAACTCTTAGCTGCCTTCTCCTTTGGGCTAATTCACTTACTACTCATTGACATACCCTGAGCATCTATCTGTTCCTACTCTGGAGGTGAGATGGGAGAGGTTGCTATAGACCAGTTAAGGTCAAAGGCTAAATCCATGGAACAGGGCACGCAGGGCCCATTTAGACACGCTGAGAGACTAAATAGTGTGGCATGTTCTTTTTAGATCATACTCAACAGATTGACCCTGCACCTAAAGGTGTTGTGTATGAGAGAGAGAGACCAGGAGAGTCAAATCCTCCTTTCCATTTCCTAAGCATTCCTCCTCCTCCTCCTTTTTCAGGTGCTGGAGAACTTCAGAATTGAAGTAAAAAATCTCAGTGATGTGGGGACCAAGTTCAACCTAATTCTGGTGCCTGAGAAGCCCATCTTCTTCAACTTCCAGCCTCTCAAGAAGGACTTGGGCCCAGACATAATGACAAAGGGTGACGCTGTCTGAACTGCAGGCTGGAGTCACATGGGAATGTGGCTCAGTGTGGGTGTTTTTTAGGGTGTGTGTGCCTCTATCTCCAGAAACAGCTGTTCATTTTGGATGGTTTTCAGCACTTTGTGGGTGCCTACCTAGGTTAGCTGTGCCCTCCCTTCCCTCATCCTCTCTCCCTCTTTACTTACCCAGAAGAGTAATAAACAGATGAACTCTGAGGAGTGTTTTCTATCTCTGTCAGACTTCTAAGACATTTATTGTCCCCCTGGAGATACATCCTGATCCCTGGTCAACTGTGGGATGAGGGGCACGTAGGGAAATGGGAAGCAGTCTTCTAGCTCAACTGTGGCTGCCCTCAGCAGGTCAGGAGCTAGCAGAATCTACTCTAAGATCCCCGGGGGGGTCTTAATGAAGTACTGTCAGGCTAGGAACCATGAAAGTGGACCCAAGGAACTCTGCCGTGGCAGAGGGGCCTGAGCAATGTGGGTGACCCTGTCCTGGGAGGAACTGTACGCAAGGTGAGGCTGGGGTGGGGTTCTTCTTGGCTGACCACAGTAGGAGCCCCTTTAGCGGTTGTAAGGATTTTCTTCTCTGCCTTGAGCATGGCATGGCTGAGGCCTGTGGTGAAATATGCTGGTAAAAGGCTGATGTGAGATGGAGCCGGAAGACAGCAGGCCTACAGGCCCCCTACCTTCTGCCTACCTTTCCTGGGGCATGCTCCATGTCTATTTTCATGCTACAAGGAGATGTATTCTAAGAGCCCAGGATGGAGTGTAGATCAAAATCTGTCCCAGGCCAGGTCTATCAAGTTTTGCCATGACCATGTGCCAGATCCTTGCTGGCTCCTGGCTCCCCAAGTCTAAGTCCTGAAAATAGGGGTGAGGGCTAGGCCAACTCAGAACAGAGGCCAAGCTGGCTTGGCCCTTGCTGGTGAGATTGCAGTTTCTGGGTCTACTTTTGAGTCTTTTGCTTCTCGCTAGTCTAGGACTCTCCTTCCATGTCTCTGTCTTTCATGCTCTTTCTTTCCTCTCAGAACTGTCAGTGCTGGAAAGGGCCACCTTGCTCAGGCAGACAGCTCTGCATGGGGTGGATGAAGAATCTAGAGTTCGGAGAGATTTCTAGTCACCAAGAGTCATCTAGGATGCTCATACCCAGAACCCAGGCCAGCCAGGGCCCCAACCCTCATGACTTTCTGCCTCTGACTGCATTTGTACCCACTAGTTCTGCCAGCCATGCGATATTTGAGTGGTGTCATAGAAAGAGACTCTGAAGACCGAAGCCTGAGTTAAAGGCTATCAGACACGAAAGGTTGGGAGCTGACAGGAAACATGGCCTCTCTCTTGTCTTACACAGAGCTCGGCTTCAGACACCATATTTCCAGTGTCCATGGTCCCTCTCCTCAACACTCTCTGGGGATCATTACTGCCTTCCAGGTCAGACAGCCTCAGAGAGCCCAGAGCCCAAGCTGGGTATAAAAAGAACAACTGGTCTGCCGCCAGCCGCCCACAACAGGAAGGAGGCAAATGCTTATTAATTTATAGCATTTATTAAAGACATCTTTGGGGGAGGGTGACTCCCCAGCACATGGGGAAGGAGGCCTGTTCCAGGCTCAGGGCTCCTAGAGGTTAGCGGTCTCGGTCTGGGAGTTTGGGAGTCTGTTAGGCTTCAAGTCTGAGTAGGGCAGTGAGGGTTCCAGTTTGGCGGGCTGCTGGAGATCCGTGGCCGCTCCAGCATTCTGAGACATACAAAGTAGGGCAGATGAGCACATCCCCATTCCCAGGGCACATTGCCTCAGGGTATCTTGCCTGGCAGGCCATGCTTCTGAGGATCCAAAACCCAGGAGGCTGTGACTTCTGAATAGCTTTGGAGGCTGTTTTATCCCTGCAGGTGGTAGATGCCTGGTTTCTCTGGGTCCCTAGGGCTAGATGAGCTTGCAGAAGTAGCCCTGGGTTCCCTGGAAGGCCCTCATCCTTTAGGTTCTGCCTATGGGTGGTAGAGCCTTGGCAGCAAGAAAAGTACTGTTAGCTTGAGGGTAGGAGAGTCAGGACCTTTTATTGTAGGGCGCGAAGTCCCCAGGGCAGGCCTCGTGGGGGGACAGCTGTGGGTGGTCTATTTGTTCCTGGGATGTAGGTGATGCAAATCTATTAAGGCAGCTAACCACTCCTTTAATCCCAGCACTTGGGAGGCAGAGGCAGGCAGATCTGAGTTCAAGGCCAGCCTGGTCCACAAAGTGTGCACCACCATACCTGGCTGCCAATTTCTAGTGCAATAGATTTCTCTGTTTAGCTGCCTTTTTTTTTTTTTTTTTTTTAAAAAAAAGGTTTTTCAGCTGGGTGCGGTAGTGCATGCCTGTAATCCCAGCACTCAGGGAGGCAGAGGCAGGTGGATCTCTGTGAGGTTAAGGCCAGCCTAGTCTACAAAAGCAAGTCCAGGACAACTAAGGCTACACAGAGAAACCTGTCTTGAAAAACCAAAAGAAGAAGAACAACAACAAAAAGAAATTGGGTGGGAAGAGGCACAAGTTATTGTATCCATGTGTGATGCCAGAGTAGAGCCAGAGATTCTAGTAATGCTTGTGTAAGCCCTTTCTCATCCACAGTGATCTCATCCCAGAAGTCTACCACAGTGGATAGGAAAGGAGACATATTGGTGACATTCCTATTCCTTCAGATGTGTCACTTGAGTATCCACTTTGCTCACAGTAGGACCTCAGCTCAAGACTTCTGATACTTAGCTTAGGACCTATCCCCCAAGATTTTCGGGGCCCAGTGATTTGGGGGTGGGATGGCTTCTAGCCTATCACCTAGATCTCCAGGGACTTCTCTGCCAGGTCACTCACAGGCTGATCTGTGATGATGGAGTTTGGCAGGTTTCCAAAGCCGTGTTGTTGCTCCTGAAGCCGTATGGCCAAGTTTTGCTTCTCTCGTGCCCAGCGGCGAGCTGAGTCCTCCAGCTGTAGACATGGAAAGGGGCAATTGGAACACCAGCACTCAGCAGGGCTCCTCCTCCTGAGCTAGAACAGAGTTTGGGCCTGTCCTCTAGGAAAAGGCAACGCTCAGGCAGCAGTAGAGGTGAGGGACCAAACGGCCTGAGACACAGCTGGATCTTCTCTACAGTCCTTATGGGGTCCACACTCTGAGCTGAGTCCACACCAGGCTTTGAATCTGTTCACAAGGCTGACCTGGTCACATACTGAACCCTAATTCTATAGTCCGACATTGAGCATTGACCCTACTTGCATGCTAAGCCTTGTCCCTGGTCATAGGCTGAACAGTGAGCCTGTTCCGGCCGGATCAACCCCAGCCACCTTACCTGGTTTTCCAGGGACAAAATCCGACTTTGAGCTTGTTCTAGCTTGGCCAGGAGGTTAAACTTGTCTGAAGTACCTCCAAGGAGATCCTGTGGAAGCAGACAGTCATGTAAGGCCCTCACTGGGAGCTGAGGCCATGAGAGCTGAGGAAACATAAGTGTACTGCAAGGAAAACCAGGCAGGGGTGGAGTTCAAATTCAGCTGCAGGTACAAAGCCTCACTCCCGGGTCAGGGCCTTTTCCTTAAGATCTTCACAGGGCTAGAGGCACACTTTTTCCCTGTGTTGTTTCCTATTCAGATTCAAAGAATCTAACATTAAAAAAATTCTTTTCTTTTTGGTGGGATCACATAAAGTCAAGGCTGGCCTTGAACTCACTATGTTGTGAGACCTTGATTTCTGATCCTCTTGCCTCCATCTCCTGAGTGCTGGCATTACAGGCATGTGTAGGTTTACGAAGTGCTGAGGACCGAACACAGGGCTTGATATAGACAAGCCCTCTGTCAGCTGAGCCACACCCCCAGCTCCCACAGGAAGCTTTAACATAGCAGCTGCTTATGCAAGATGCAGTAATGAGTCCCTTTCCATACCCAGAATGTGGTTGAGCTGGGAGTCTTTTAGCAGAGGGAAGGCTCACCAAAACACAGGATGCCCTTCTCTCATACTTTATCTGGCTGCCTATGTGTTGGGACATTCCAAACAGAACTCATTTCCTGGGATGAAGAGAAACACTCACCCGTGTCCTCTTGCCACCATAACTCCAAATATTGGCTTTGAGTTTGTATACAGCAGGGGCACCTGAAGCAGCATGGCAGTGGAGCAGTCCCCCAGGACACCCACCTGTGCTGGCAGGGTCTCTATGCACCTGGAGTGTCCTGGGCCATTTGTGTCTTGTAGATTCTCTGCCAAGTCTCCACCTGCTCCCAACTCCCTGGGATCCACCTGGGATGGAGAAATGGGCTCTCCAAGGCTGCAGCAATCCCAGAAGGCTCTGAGAGTCCCATGGTGGGAGGGTGTCCAGGTGGGAGCAAGCCAGGTGACAGGTGGAATCAGGGTTCAGGGGTCAAGGGTGAGCTAGAGCTTTGCTCTCTCCCAGGATGCCAGATGAAGGTTAGACATTCACCTTAGGAATGCACGTGCAAAGACCAAGTATAAATGTTCTTAGAGGTGTTGGGTTCCAGGAAGCCCAGATTCTTGGCTGAATCTTTAACTTGGCCCATGCTGGGGATGATTGTGGGGTGAGTACCTGCTGACCGGTACCGGCAAGGCTCAAGCTAGGCCCATGTTGGCAGCTCTTACCGGCAGGGCCTGCTGCTGCAGGATGATGGGGGCTGACTGCTGGCGGTTCTTTTCCAGCTCTGCCCGCAGCCTCGTGTTTTCTGCCAGCAGCATGGAGTAAAGATCAACAGCCACGTTCTCTCCTGTGGGGCCCAGGTGAATGCCAGAGGCTGTGAACACGGGGAAGGCTGTGAACATGGCCACAAGTGCTTGTGAGATGAGCTTTTGTTGCTTCTATGTCCTATTTGCTCTAGCATTTTGCGCCGTTCTGCTCCCAAGCTATCAATGGAGTCAGGTCCACGTCCCTCAGGCTGTCATCCCAGGCTATTTAGAATCCTACTTTGTTGTTTTCCCCACATCTCTCCCTACTCATCTGTCCTTGTATCTGTCTCTCTGGCCACTCTCTGGTCCTTTGAGCTGGTTGTCACCCTACATAGACTCTAGGTGACTTAAGGCTCCCTAAGACTTTCCTTGTTTTATAAAGACTTTCAGACACCCAGTGCCTAACCATCAATGGCCCAGGGCCAGGCATACAGAGCATGTCCCCACATGACCAGGGAGATGATCGAACCTGATAAAGTGTTATCTTGTTCCTTTCTGCTTACCAGAGCCATATTTGATTGGCAGTTGTGGATGGCTGTGGGTTACACCAATGGGGAAAATAAACTGATACCATCAGTTTAGTTTTGTCTGTTTGCTTTGTGGAGGCAGAATAGAAAAGATGCCAAGTGGTGAGGAAGCTAAGGACTTGGGGACTGCTGCCTATGAGGTCGTCCACATGGGAAGTCTTTCTCTGTGCCTGTGGTTCATGGGGCCTCAACCCTAGAGGTTGAAGTCTCTTTCTACCTGTCTTGTGTCCTAAGAGGCTTCCTGGCAGAAGGAGGGCTCTGAGCACCTTGGAAGCTCTTAGTACCTGAGAGAAGAGAGGAGTCATGCTATGCTGGGCATCTCTCTCTAGCTCACAGACAAAATAGAGCATTGGCCCCTCTCTGAAAGCTCTCGTGAAGCTGGGGGTAGGGCAGGGCGAGACAAAAGCTGGAAAATCACTTATTCTGATCTACACTGGGGAGCAGACCCACCCACATTAGGCTTCTCCTGTGGCCTGTTTGATGGGGCTGGCTCCTTCCTCTCCCGGAGCCTTTCTTCCAATATCTGCTCCATCTTCTCAATCACCTGGCGACAGAGACCAAGACTGGGCTGGCTTGAGAGCGCCACACCCTCTAGGCTGCTGCTGCTCCTCCACAGCTTGCCCCGGCACCTGCCTTTTCCTGGTGCCTCACAGTGTCCTCCAGGGCCTTCATCTTCTGCAGCTTGTCCTGGTACCTCCTTATCTGTGCAGCCTGTGGCTGCTGGGCCTGGCACAGAAGCAGCAACTCCTTCTCGCGATCATTCTTCTGCAGGGTGGAAGTGAGTGGGTACCTGGGAGTTGCCCCAGCCACAAGGGCACATGTGGGATCCTGCGGAACCCTGCACTGGCCGGCTTCCCTCCCTGCTTTCTCTCTGCTCTGGGTACTTCTCAGGACTCTGCCCAGAGGCTCTGCCCCTCTGCCTGTCAAGCCCTGGCTTACCCGAATCAGCTCGTTCTGCAGATGCTGCACCCTGTCTCGCAGCCTCTTCATATCCAGTTCACTCAGCAGTAGGTTCTGCTTCATGGACTCGGCTGGAGTGGGAAGACGCTGGCTCAAGAGTAGGTAGAGGCAAGGGCACTCCAGCTCTGGAGCTCAACCCAGGTTTTCTGTTTCCCTCCCTAAGCCATTGCAGCTGGGCAGGTTGTACAAGTGTGTCTACAGTGGGAGGGGTGGGAGAAGTAGGGGGCTCCTGATACAGGACACACATCTGGAGAAAGCTCCCTACCACCCTGACAGTGAACAGGAAGAGCCCTGGGCTGTGCTCAGCCCAGAGCCTGGGCCCCAGCAGGTCTCCAAAGACTTACCCAGGTTCTCCTCCTCAGCTCTGCTCTGCTCTTCTTCTATGCTCTGCTGTGTCAGCTGGCTCCTCAGCATGCGGTTCTCCTCCTCCAGGATGTTGGCCTGCTTCCTCAGTGCTAGGATGTCCTCTGCCATCTTCTGCATGGCCCGCCGGTAATTGTTCATCTCCTATAATCCCAGAATCCTCAGCTGAACCCTTCCCTGATCCCCCAGCCCCAGGACCCCACTCTACATTTGCACCCACAGCGAGCCACTCCCAAGAGCCACGTTTCCAGGTTCTGAGTAAACCATAACTACTTCTTCACTTTCTCTTACCTGCTCCCTCTTCTCACCCAACTCCTTCCCAGGAGGAGCCTCCTAGACTGCCTACCAAAGCCACTTGGGGGCTGATCTACCATCAGCTTCCCAAACAGCCTAGCATCCAAGAAGAGACACCAAGTAGACCCTGAAGACTCAGGTAAGGACTCAAGGTCAAAGTCAGGATCCAGATACAAGATGGGGGAGGTGCAGAGGATGGGGACAGGAAGCCAACTTAGGTCTGGAAGGGCACTAATCATAGTGTTGATGTGCCCTTGGCTTCTCCCACATCCTAGGCCTCCTACTAAGTGCTTTAAATGCTTGTCTCCACTCAACTCCCCAAAACCCTATGAGATAGGTATCACTCTCACTTTACAGAGGAGGAAACTGAGGACAAGCCCCAGAGAGGCTAGCAACCTACTCAGTGACAAGAGTAATGGGTAGTAAAATCAGGGTCTGAAATTCAAGCCTTTTGGCGCTTGGGCCTGTTATTGTTATTTGTTTGTTTTGAGACACAAAACAAAACTAAGTCTGTCCATATATGCACAAGGCAACCAAGCCAAATGTCTGTACAAATTTACGTGTGTGCCTGTGTGGGCACATGTGTGTGCTCAGTCTTGGGTGTCAACCTCAGGAATGAGATCCACTCCTTGAAATAGGGCAGTTTCTCATTGGCCTGGAGCCCATCTATTAGTCTAAATTGGCTGGGCAGTGAGTCCCATGGGTCTTCCTGTCTTTATTTCCCTCATGCTAAGATCACAAACACCCAAATCTCCATGCCTGGCATTTACATTGTTCTGGGCATCAAACAAGAGACCCTGCATTTGCACTTTACCTACTAAGCGTATCGTGAGCCCTGAATTTTCTTGTCAGTCAGATTCTGTACTGTTACTACAAGTTCCAAGCAGGCCGTATCTTAAGACTCTCCTATCTATCAATCTGTCTATCTGCCTATCTATCTGCCTATCTATCTGATCCAAGATACAAGCCAGAAAGGTCCTGGAAGAGAAACAATCAGAGTAGGGCCTGGGAGGGAATAGGGAGGAGGTAAATGAGCTCTCTGAGTTGCCTGTGGACTTCCAGGCTGTAGAAGCCTTGCTCTTGTGGGTGGGCCTCACAGGCCTGGCTCTCAGACCTCAGAAAGCACAACTCTATATCTAACTCTCCCCGGTCTCCTTCTGCCTAGGGGGATCAGGCTATATCCCAGCTATAGCCTCCCACCTGCTGCATGCTGGGGCAGAGCTTGTAGGAGAGGGGGTCTCCAGTCAGCAGGAACGTACCGGAGACCACTTGTTATCTGCCACTGCTGTCTAGCCTTCTGGCTATAGTCCCTCTGACTGGTGCCGGTGTTGGCTCTATCTCCCTAGCATCTGCTGTGGCTTTCCCAGCTATCTGCCCATCTGGTATCCTCCAACAGACCCTGCACGAGGACTAGACCACACACACACACACACACACACACACACACACACACACACATACACTTTGGAGTCAGGAACATGTGTGGAGCTTGGGACCTCCTGGAGGCCCACATGTTGCTGTGAGCTCAAGTTGGGCTGTGCAGGTGTTGAGGGAGACGCCATTCCCAGTCTGTCTCATTTCTGTTTCAATGGCTGTTCTACCCCATAGACCCTTCCCCTTTCTTTCTCACCACCCAGGGCTTACTGGCTCCTCTCCACTGGCTGGTTTTCACTTCCAGGCGCAGCCCATGACTGACTGGATCCAGAGTCCAGACCTCTGCCAGAGGAAGCCTCTGCCATTTCAACAGAGGAGATTCAGCTCCTGTCCTTCCCTAGCCTGCCTCAACTTCTTATCATCCTGTCCTGATTACAACAGCCCCAAAGGAGACTATTAGCTTGCAGGGTTATTGCCTTGACCCATACACATTCCCATGTCCACAGATACATGTTCAAGAAAACACGTTCAAGGATGCTCAATGCAGCACAGTCTGAACACTATGACTTCCCTAGTGTCTGGTCTGGTTATAAGGAATGTCCTAGAATTACTCATCCCTATACAGAAAGAATGCCACACTGTTGTGAAATGAAGAGAGCTTGTGGGCCGTTAACACAGTCCTGACCTTGACTGGGATGGGATGCAGACATGCACGTGGAAGGAATCCTGGACAAGAGGTTGTCAGTCCCTTGACCCATCCTGTAGGCTCTGGTCAGCCTACTTCCCATTCAGGGGATTATCCTTAAGGTCCCACTGTTACCTGTCTCTATAGTTCTGCAGTGTGGGGGAATTAAGCATTGCTCTGCCACTTATACCATCCCCCACAGATGAAGAAAACAGAGACCATGACAAAGAAGGAAAGAACAGAGGGAGAGGTTGGCTTCTGGTGTGGTGGCCCCCTGCCTCAGCCAGCAGGTCCTTCTAGAGGAGGATCAGTGGATCCCAGGTGGATCAGTGGATCTACCCCTTGAAGACGAGCCCTGTCTTCCTTCCCAGCAGCTTAGCTCATCCTTGTCTGTTCACCCTGGGAGTGGGGTTTCCCTAGGGGGACAGCGTGGGCTCCTGGCTCACCCTCTCTACTCTGGCCAGTGCTCTGTTTCTGTGGGGACTTCAGTGGCCCCATTTGTATGGTCAAGCAGCACAGCTGGGCCTGAGAGACCACAAGGTTTAAGCTGGTAGCCCTGATCTCTGGCCACAGTCTGCAGCTAGGCTGCCCTCAGGGCCACGTTCTGCGTCACATCCCAGCCTTGAAAACACACAGGACACCATGTTCCAGATTGTCTTTATGGTCCTGCTCTCTTGTTGCCTCCTGGGGGAGGGGCAGGCATGTCCTCAGAGGCCATTACTCAAATGCCACTGTGCCTGACCCTGAGGACCCCTTGCACCCTGCTCATCCACTGATACTCCCCACTATGGCCCTGACCCTCAGAGCCTGCCAGGGTGAGAAATGAGAGCACCAGGCTCTAGTTTCCCCACTGTCCAGGAATATTGGCAGACTTTATTGAAGCCATGCCACCTCATGGGCCCAGGAACCAGGGTGGCTGTCTATAATGGGAAATCAGCCCCCTAGTGTGACAGGAGGACAGTAGGAAAGTTAGCCCTGGCCCTGGCACTAGAGTGCCTGGCGATAGTAATTCCCTTACCCAACTCACTTTAAGATACTTCAAAAATATTATTCCAGAATGGCCCTGGGCCCTAGGCCCAGAAATTCTGCTTACATGACGAGGCCCAGTTTATTGGACTGAGACCCATTTCCACCAAGGAGGAAGGTGGGGATTCTCTGACAAAAGCCCAAGGAAGATGCTCAGATCCCAGTCAGTGCTTATGGTAAAGTCTGAAGCATATCACCCAGTGGAGATTTCCAAACACACCCCTGGTAACCACCAATTCATATAGTCAGAATAGCCCTTGTGCCACGACAGTGCAGAAGGGGAAACTGAGGCTGGAAGTGGTGTGCCTAAAGCAAGGCTTGCCGAGTGCCACTATGTACAGGTCTGGGCCACGCGGGACCTTGACCAGAGCTAAGCTAGACAGTCCTTGTTCACAGTGGTCCGCTCTACATCGAGGAGGTGGCAGACACTTCCTGTGTCTGTGGCAGAAGAGGCTTCCAGCAGGCCTGTCCCTCCCAGCTCAGGAAACCTGGAAAGCTTCCTGGAGGCAATGAGGACCTAAGCTGCTCTCAGAGTATGGGCAGGTGGTACCTTGAGGGAGGGGCTTCCAGGCAGAGGAGATGTTGTGGGGAGGGGAGGAATGAGGAGAGCAGCAGGGCAAGCCAGAGAAGTGGACTCAGGGGCCTGGTCTCTGCTGCAGGAAACTGAAGGGCCCACGCTGGAGGGCTGTAATAAGGACTTGCTGGCTGCTAATCTACTAGGGATAGATGGCTATAGGGGCCAAGAGTAGTGCTGGGTGAGAAGCAGTGGGCAAGATGAAGGCAGGATAAAAGTGTGGGGCCCAGCGGAGGGAGCAAGCAGATGTTCAGAGTTGGGGAATGGAGACAGAGGAGTTGGTGGCAGGTAGTGAGGGCTCTCAAGATGGGAACAGCCGCCAGAGGGGAAGAGGAGTGGCAAAATCCAGATGGCCCAGCCAAGTCCACAGGGCCCCCTGAAGAGTGCTGAGGCTGTGGAAAGTGGTGACAAGGCTGTGCAGGGATCTGGGCTCGGCAGCCCTGCTTAGTTAGGCCCCATGGCCCTTGCTGGCTGACACAAGATGCTGGTGTGTGGTTTGTCTTCATGGCCGCCAGAGGGCAGCCGCCGCCCGCCAATGCTCTGCTTCCAGTTTGTCCCAAGAAGAGGCCAAGGCTTCACCACAGCTTGTGTTGAAGAGAAAGCTGAGTGTTTCATGAAATATCTAGTCCTGCCAGAACACACGTCCCTTCTCTAGGTGACCCACATGTCCTTCTCAGACCTGCCCTGGTCATGATGGGTGCCCTCTGCTGAGAATTGTCCATAGAAGCCAGAGAGGTGCCTGAAGTCACACAGCAATTCTTAAACCTCAGCTGGGTCCTTTGTTAGCTCTTGGGAAGGTTATGGGATAGAGCTTGGAACAAGACCCATATCTTAACTTCTCCCACAGAAGAAGACACTTGAGGCTGGCCCTTGTGAACAGAGAACAGCTGAGAAGAAAACATTATCCTTCTCCCACGTGTACCCAAATCATTGCAAAGAGAGAAAATTCTTCTATCCAAGCAACATAGCCATGAACACTCCGCCCAGGTGGAAACCTAGAGGTCCCATCCCACTCCCCTTGCTGAGGAAGAAGCTGGCCCAGAGGAGGAAGGGCTGGCTGGTCTTTGCTTCATTCCTAAGGGGCATAGGTACAACTGGATGTTTGTGAAGAGTGTTCTGTGGAGCTCCAGGAGCCAGGCCTGGTGGAAGCCTGAAGCTCTACCCTGCACTGACTCTCTGGCTGCCCACCGTAGCTCCCAGCCATCTGTTTTCTCCACACAGCCAGCTGCTTCGTCAGGCTCCCTGAGCTCCTGAGCTGGGTCCTCTCAGCCTTCCTCCCTGGTGGAGGACAGGCTGAAATGCTATTCTCTTCCTCTCACTGAGAGGTGGAATCTAAGTGTGTGCCCTATGTCATTCCCCTCCACACCCCAAGTAAACTGGATGGTGGCCTTGGAGACCCTTAGGAAGTGGGGAAATTCTTGAAATTCTTCCCCTCTCCCAGTGCCCATTGTTTTCCTTGGGAGAAGTCCAGATAACCAGGGGGAGAAGGGGCCATGCTAACTCAGCCTCAATGTTCTACCCCAGCCTCCAAGTCATGTCCACCAAGGACACATTAGAGGCTTTGCCTGCTCTGACCGGCAGCCACCCCTAACCCAACACGCATGGCTGACTACCAGGGACAAACCCACACAGCCCCACAGCTTCTCAGAGGGCTTATAACTTCCCTGCTCTCCTGTCTCTTTCAGGTAGCCACCGTTCCTGTCACCTTGTCATCTTTTGACACATAGAGCTTCCGTGGGTCTCTCCGGATGCCAGAGACCTTCCTTGTTAACTTTGTCATGTTTAGAACTTTATAAAAGAACGAATCCCATTTTTTTAAAATAAAATAGGAACCTTCAGCTTGTACAAACTGGCACTGGCCTTGCCCAGTTCCTGAGAACAAGGAGCTTGGAGTTCACTCCAAGGAACCAGTGCTGGGGATAGGTGCCCTGAGATTTGCTGGAAGAAGCTAGTGTTGTCCCAGGGGTTGAAGTTCAGTGTGGCTGGGCAGTTCCTGTGCTCACAGGAACATCTAGTACCACTGGAGTCCTGGTCCCTCTATCCTCAGTCCACCCAGTTAAAACAAACAAACAAACAAACAAACAAACAACAACAACCTTCCTTCCTGCTGACTGTGGGTGTGACAATTAGCCTAGAACCAATGGCCTCAGCAGCTCTACTCACTTTCTAACTTTACCACCAGAGGTCAGGCAAGGGCCCTCAAATACCCCATCGGCTGGGCGGGGCCCCTGAAGCCCAGAGCTGGGGATCAGGCAACAGTCGGTGGCCTAATGGGGGACTGCAGCCCTGCAATCCACCACACAGAGGGCAGCGCTGGGGAGGACTGCGGCAGGCCAGCTCTGCATCAGGGCTTTGGCTGGAGGTGAGAAAACCACGGTGGAGCAACAGCCTCGGTGGTCCCTTTTCTGCCTGTCACTGCCTGAAGTGACCCCAGCTTCCCAAGCCCCGGCTCAGCTCTGTTGGGATCGGGAGGTCTTTATCCTTAGAAAGATGCCGGTAGCAGTGCGGGCACTTGCCATGCATCGACACCACTTACCTCCGGAACTAAATAAGAAGCCAGAGATGAGAGAGGTGTCTCTGGCCAGGCAAAGGCCATGACCATGAAGCCGAAACCCTGGGCTATTGTGGGTATGGGACTTCATCCAGCCTTCTGTTCTTATCCTTTGCTCTGGGGCCTTTGTCAATTTTGCCCAGTCTTTAAGGTTATACCTGCGGTCCTTTTCCCCCAGGAAGGCCCTGGGAAACTTTAGATTTAGAGCCTGGTCTCTGAGGCAGAGGTGGGGCTTGAGTTGATGATGTGGGATTTGAAATGTGAGAACATCAGGGGCCTGGAGGCCAGCACAGATGCAAGGGCTTGGATATCATAGCCCACAGGTGAACCTCATAACACACAGGTGGACAGCATAGCACACAGGTGGATATCATAGCACAAAGGTGGACAACACAGCACACAGGTAGATGGCCAGAGAGCTGGAGCAGACCCGGTTTTTCCAGCCCGCCTAACTATCCAGGGTGGGTTGTGTCCAGGGAGCCAGCCCCAGGAGCTCTGCTTTAGCACAGAGAGCAGATGGGAGCCACAGCAGGTTCTAGAATAGAGGACCTATTCATCTGAAATCGTGTTCATCAAATAATTTCCCTTGACTAACAGCTGGGCCTCTGAACCGCAACGAATCCATGCAAAGTGCTATTGCAAACAGTTTCCTTTGCTCTATATTGCTCTCCCAGGGATGGGGACACAGTAGCTCCTTTATTCTGTCCAAGGTTACAGCAAAGAAACAAAAGAAGCACAACTGTGTTTTCTGTCTTCTGTTCCTTTCCTTCCCAAGCATTAGAGAAAGCTTTTGTGCTTACCTTCCTGAAACTCTGAGGGTCTACAGGGCCTTGGCCTGCACCTGACCCCAGCCCCTGTCTAATTGGCCCCTACAGGAGGCAGGCTGCCTCATTGGACCAGGCCAGGACCGTGGGGCTGAGGATAGAATGGGCACAGAGGTGTGTAGAGCTTTCTGAAAGGTGCCATCTAACTACATGGTCCCATGCCCTGCCCCCAGGTCTCCCTCAGTCATACCCAGCTTTCAAGGCTCCCCTCTGGGTCCTCCTCCAGAACAACCCTGCTCCCCCTACCCCCCAAGCCAGTGTCAGCCTTCCTCTGGGGTTTGGCTCATGGTCCTGCCTTTGCTGGTAGCAATTTGGAGCTGACCTAGCCCTTGCCCTCAGACAAGGGAAGTCTAGCGCTGGGGCTGGGGCTGTGGAGGGGACAAAGCTCTCCCCAAAGTGACTCTGACCACCCTATCATAAGGAACCCTTCCGTGTTGGTCACATCCTTATTCCCCTGCCTCTGATAATATTCACAGGGTGAGGCCAGAACCTGGCTTTCCCTCTGTCTTTCTCAGATGCTGTCCACTGACTACCAGGAGCCCCTGTCCGTGTTCACTCATCTGTACACTATAGGGTGCTGCCTTCTGGGATGGACCTCTGGGGTTAGAGTGAGAAAGGTCACCATCATTAACCCCACTCTACCTCCCCAAGCCCTGGCCTGCAGCCCTGGCCTGCTTCCCCTAAAGCCCACATATGAGCCTGGCAGCACAGGCTGAGGTCTGGGGCTACACCTTCAGGACACCATAGCTGGGGTTCAAGTTAACTAGAGACAGTGTTCACTTAAGGGCATTTTCCCACCAAAGGCCTGTTTTCCATCTTCTCTGGGTTCGGGTGTGGGCTCTAGTGGCCTGGGTTGAGACTGGGAACCTCACTGGAAGTTCCTGAGACCAGGACCATCTAGGAGTGGTGTCTTGGCCCTCCCCCACTTACCTCCTACTCATACAGGCTCTGGGAATGCCTCTGCTGGTTGCCTGGCAACATACCCCTACACACCTGCAGCTGACCCATCTCCCAGAACCAGTGGGTGTGGGGCAGACTTACAGAGCGGCTTTCAACTAGGCCCAGGGCAAACTTGGGGGCTGGAGGGGCTGGCTCCCCTGGCTCCCCCATCTGTGCTGATGGCAGTTCTGTTCCCAGGATGGGTCCTCAGGGACTGTTGCTACAACAAGTGCCTGCTTGGTGACTGGGCCCAGCCCTGAAGCAAGCAGGAGGCAAGCGTGGGGCCTCTTTCTTTGGTTCTGGGGTAAGGGACACTTGGATGGGGTGATAGAATCGGGCTTGGCTCATTCCTTGGCCAGGGAATTGCAAGGAAATGACAGGCCTGGGAAAGCTGCGGGAGTCCTTCAGGACCTTAGGCTTCTGATACTACGACTTAGGAACCCTCCTCACTGTCCTCCAACTCTGTCTTCCCTTTCTGATTGTCCCCCTTTTCTGACTACACTCTTGTCCCCTTCTCAAATCTCTTTTCCCTCGTCAGGCTCCTCCTTGGTCTCCCTGAATGTCCTGATACTTTCCAGGCGCTGCACCCCAGTAGCCCAAGCTGGGCTCACCCTCCTCCCACAGCAACAGGGTTCTCCACCCCACCCGTGCTCCGAGGGCCTCCAGCTCTGCTTTCCTGACAGTCTGGACAAATTCCTTTCCTTTTAGTTCAGTGCAGACATGGGTGGATGTTTTTGAAAGGAACTCTCTAGGAGAGGAAGCAAAGGAAAACAAACCCAAACACCCCAACCCACCACCTAGAAACGCAGGATCACAGAGGCAGGGCTATCTACCATAGCCGCCTGAGCCTGGTTACAGATCCTTCCCTGGGGCAACAGCCTGGGTACACTGCCCCCTCCTTGGGCATGGGGCAGGGTGGTGGGTGGTGTTGCCGTTACTTGCTAGCCTATTGGTCCCGGGCATATGTAGCTTAAAGCTTTTCACGATGGGACCCCATCAGGAGCCAACAAGATGCCTTGACAGGAACAGGGACTTCATAAAGATGTAGTACTAGTTTAATGAATCCTTACAGAAAACTGTAAGGATTCTCTGGAATTTCTGGGGTGGCATAGAATAGTCTGAGTCAGATACCTCTACTTCAAAATCTCTATCCCCAGGGGCCTCTGGCCCCTGTCAGCATTGCTGTCATACTCTGGAATAGGGAAGACTCACATTGCTTGGCTTGCTTGCTTCATTTGTCACTTAATTTTCCTTTCTTTTTTTTCTTTTCTTTCTTTTTTTTTTTTTTGTGACAGGTTTCTCTGTGTAGCCTTGGCTACCCTGGACTCTTTGTAGACCAGGCTAGCCTCAAATTCATAGAGATCTGTCTGTCTCTGCCTCCGTGAGTGCTAGGATTGAAGGCGTGCGCCACCACGCCTGACTCACTTATTTTCGTAGTGCGATGAGGGTGGGGAAGAAGTGGGACATTCTACCCCACTCATGCTGGCTTAGTGGGGTGGAAAGACTAAGGGCTCTGCTTCTAATTAGATCAGACAGGTCAGTCAACACCTCTGGGCCTCAGCATCATTCTGTGAGATGGAACGCGTACTGCATCCGTCAAGTGGGGCTGTCAGAGGACTAAGGTGGCTGTGTGAAGCTCTGCTAGACTCCACAGCACATAGGAGAGGCTCCGGGGGACTCTGGAAGGCCCAATCCTCTCCAACAGGGAAGTAAATGTGAGGCCTCCCTGACTGTAAGTCACCCAGCAGGCACCAAAATACAGGCTAAAAAACGCCCCAATCCTTCCTCTTGGCCTCTCTGCTGCTGCTGCCTTCTGCTGTGCACCTTTCCTGCCCACAAATCCAGGGCCAGAAGCCCAGGAGGAGGTCACTGTGCCACTGATGGCTGCCCCCTCTCCCAGCCAGCCTCCAGCCGTTGTCCCTGAGGGGACCCTGGACCCCTTGTCTGCTGCACTGCCAATCGATCCAATGCTCTGCCATCCTCGGGCGTGCCATGAATTTTTCATCAAAAGCCCGTAGACTTTGGGAAACGCTCAATTAGAAGCACCATCAATAATGTACCACGTGGAGGCATCCACAGGACGCAGCCAGGCCCCAGACGTGACTGTCTTCCAGTCTGCTCCAGCAGGAGACAGTAGGCCCAGTGCCCCCTCGGGGGCCCCACTCTGGATACAGAACAAGCACAGCTGCTGTGAGAGAGAGGCAACCACACCCTTGGCTGCTCGAGCCAGATCCATGGAGCCCAGGCCAGCCCCAGGAAGACTAGCCTGACTTGGGGTGTTTTGTCGGTAAAGTGAATACTGAAGAACGCCCACAGCTCTCTCCTTGCACTGTGTGGCACAGTAAGATGCCAGACAGCTACGTGAAGAGTCTGGTTGGGTGACTTTTGTTTTTGCGGACCTAGTGAGCGAGTGGCTTTTCAGGATCCGAGGGAGCAGGGTATGTCCAAGGGTGGGTGGAGGAGGCAGAGGCAGAGAGAATAGAGATGGTGGCAGTGTCTCTCGGAACTAGAGGAGCATCCTAACAACTCCCAGGTCAGAAGGCTGTGCTGAAGGTGGGGCAGAGTGACACACACCTGTTAATCTTGGCACCTGAGAGGTGGGCAGGAAGAGTGGGAGATGGAGGCCACCTGGACTACACAGAGTTCCAGGCCAGCCTGAAATGCAAAGTGAGATCCCATGGAAGAGGGAGGAAAAGGAGGAGGAGGAGGGGGAGGAGGAGGAGGGGAAGGAGGAGGAGGAGAAATCGTGCTGGGGGCAGAGCACAGACTTTGCAGAAAGAGCAGCTTAATGATGCTACCTAACCTCTGTTCTCTGGGTAGCATGATGGAACCATCAGGCCATGGCTTCTCCTGTCCCAACCCATCCAGAGGAGCTGTCCCACTCTTGCTAAACTGAATTAGACATGGCTTCTTCGGCCCTTTCCAGTCCTGTGATCCAAAAGTGTCCCTGTTCTCAGAGCAGGGACCCATCAAATCCAGGCTCTTGGGAGCAGAGCTGGAGTCAGGCTGGAACACCGGGATACCTGTGCTCTGGGATCACTGGGTGTGAGGACAGAGCTTCTTCTGCATGGGCAAGACCTAGCCTGCTGGGGTCAGGTTGGGGTGAAGGGTTACAAGGACCTCAGACCAAGCTTAGCTTATCAGTTTGAGGAGCTGGGGTGGGCAGGGGGGAGGAGGGACAGGAAGCCACCTGTCTCTCTTTGGTGATCCTAGTTTGACCTTCCCAGAGAGCATGGTTGCAGGAGGAAGGCTGCTTGTCTCTGCTAGGCAGCCCACCTGAGGGGGATGCCGGGCTCAGAAGCTCTTGATAAGGACACATGAAAAGCACAGATGGTGCCAACAAGTGCAAATTAATTGAGCAAAGCCTGTGTACACAGGCGCTGTGAACAGGCGGTGACAGGAGGGGAGGGGCTGGTGGGGGCAGGGCGGGGAGCAGGGAGAAGCCTTAACGAGCACTTATCGATGTCTCGCTGGATCCACAGCCCAGAGCACAGTTATTGACAAAACCTGTCTATAAATCTCCTAGCCATGTCTCCAGAAGCCTTAATTACGGGGCCTCATTACCCTTCACACCTCTAGGCTCCCGGGGACCAGCCTGGACAGGCTGACAATGCTGTGGCTGATTCATGACAGCCTTGCTGAGCCTCCCCATGAAAGGTGCTCAGCTTGGGATTCCTGGGACAGTTTGGAGCTCTATGTCCAGAGGAGCAGGTGGGGTTCAGGCGCCCGGGCTGAAGGCAGGGTGTGGAATGGATTTTGAAGTTCTAGACATAGGATACAATTTCTCCAGTTACTGCTGACTCCAGTGAATACCTCACCTCTCTGTGCTGCAGGTTACTCCTCCACAATGAGGAAGGGATTGTAAGAAGACTGAGGGGCAAGGTCTGTCTGTGTCCAACACTCACAATATGAATGTAATGCTGTCTGGTTACTGCCAGACCCTGGGGCTCTCCCAGCACCGTGCAATGCATCCAAATCTGAATACAGGTAAACACAAGCATTGTCCCAACCACAAAATGGCCCAACCTCTCCCACTCCTGCCTAACAGGAGGGACCTGTTAGGCAACCTCACCAGTGACACTTTTAGCTTCACTCATTTATTCCTTCCTTCTAGGTGTGAATTAGCAAGAGAGTAATTATATTCACGGAACTGTCTGTCCCTTCATCAGCATCGCCAGCTGCAATTACAGGCCTAATCTTTCCTGCCATGCTCAGAGAGCCCTGAAGCTGCCCCAGGAGCTCCCCACACCAGCCAGTCAGCTGACCTGGAGGGCAGCAGCTGTGTTCCTGCGGGGATGGACAGCCACCCATTTGCTCCTTTGCACATTCTCTTTAGGAGAACATACCGTCTAGGCTTTAATTGGAGGCAATTTTTACCCCTTTCCCTGAATTAGTCTTGTGAAACTGTGTGATTGTGGCTTCCTATTCATTGTCCCCAGGGAGGCATCTGGCCAGAAGAGAAAGTCTGGGTCGGGGGCTGTGGAGGGGAGTGATCCTCGTGGTCTCTGCCTGGTCTCTGCTTGGGGACAGGACCACTGGCTGTATGTCTGGGCCTTTTGATCTGGTGATGCATGCAGGCTGTGTGTGTGTGTGTGTGTGTGTGTGTGTGTGTGTGTGTGTGTGTGT